GGTTTTTTTTCTCTCAGTCAGCTGCACTGTTTTTTTTTTTTTTTCCTCATCTTCATGGATTTATCTACCTTTAGTCTTTGATGCTGGTGACCTTTGGATGGGGTTTTCGTGTAGATGTCCCTTTGGTTGATATTAATGCTATTCCTTTCTGTTTGTTAGCTTTCCTTCTAACAGTCAGGTCCCTCTGCTGCAGGTCTGCTGGAGTTTGCTGGAGGTCTCCTCCAGACCCTATTTGTCTGGGTATTGCCAGAAGCGGCTGCAGCCCTGCAAAGATTGTTTCCTGTTCCTTCTTCTGGAAGCCTTATCCCAGATGGGCACCTGCCAGATGCCAGCCAGATGGAGCTCTCCTATATGAGGTCTGTCAAATTCTGCTGGGAGTTGTCTCCCAGTCATGAGGCATGGGGGTGAGGGGCCCACTTGAGGAGGCAGACTGTCCTTTAGTAGTACTCAAGTGCTTTGAAGGGAGATCTACTCTCTTCAGTGCCAGCAGGCAGGAATATTGAAGCCTGCTGAAGCTGCATGCACAGCCGCCCCTTCCCCCAGGTGCTCTTTCCCAGGGAGATGGGAGTTTTATCTATAAGCCCCTGACGGACTGCTGCCTTTCTTTCAGAGATGCCCACCCAGAGAGGAAGAATCTGGACAGACAGTCTGGTTACAGCAGCTTTTTGGAGCTGCAGTAGGCTCCACCCAGTTCAGACTTCCTAGTGGCTTTGTTTACATTGTGAGGGGAAAACCGCCTGCTCAAGCCTCAGTAATGTCGCATGCCCCTCTCCCTACTAAGCCCAAATGTCCCAGGTCAATTTCAGACTGCCGTGTTGGCAGTAAGAATCAAGCCAGTGGAGCTTGCTGGGCTCTGTAGGAGTGAGATCCACTGAGCCAGACCACTTGGCTCCCTAGCTTCAGCCCTCTTCCCAAGGCAGTGAACAGTTTTGTCTCGCTGGTGTTCCCAGTGCCCCTGTGGTATGAAAAAAAAAAAAATTTCTACAGCTAGCTCTGTCTGCCCAAACGGCCCCCCAGTTTTGTGCTGGGCCCTTGTGGTGTAGGCACCTGAGGGACTTTCCTGCTCTGCAGGCTGTGAAGACCATGGGAAAAGCATAGTATCTGGGCTAGAATGCACCATTCCTCATGGCAGGGTCCCTCACAGCTTCCCTTGGCTAGGGGAGGGAGTTCCCTGACCCTTTGCCCTTCCTGGGCGAGGCGAGGCCCCACGCTGCTTTGTTTCACTCTCCATGTGCTGCACTAACTGTCTAACCAGTCCCAATGAGATGAGCCACGTACTTCAGTTGGAAATGCAGAAATCACCCACCTTCTGCATTGATCTCGCTCGGTGCTGCAGACCAGAGCTGTTCCTATTCGGCCATCTTTATTGTTTGGGCAGATTATTTTTATTTAAACAATTTAGTCTACCTATTCTAATTATTTAACAATCTAATTTTATATTTTCCATTATGCTTACTGGAGATTCATTCATACAATAACAACTTAAAGTGCTTCTGAAGCATTACTGTTTGACCAGTTAAACATCCCTAGTAAACACAGAGCAAGTCAATGAATCACAGATTCATAAGCAGTCACATAACTAAGCTTTTGTTAACATTTTACCTTCTCCATTTTGATCAGGAAGCAATCAATAAAGTCCCGAGGGTTGTTCATGTCCATCGATTCTTGATGTTCTTTTACTTTCTCCAAAATATAACTTTTCACAAAAGCAACGTTTTTAAGTAATTTGATATGAGTTCCCGGGAAATAATCAATGATAGGAGAAAAATTGTTGCAGATCTAAGAGAAAACAATAGTTTATTAAATTAAAAGATTTTAATAAAGGCATATATACCACATACCAAGCTCTGGTTGTAAATTATAGCTATAAATATAAATAAAATATATCATATATCTTGATGGGAAAATTTTTATTATACATATGTAGTAATTATCTGATTATAAAAGATTTCAGGAAGAAAATTCTGACCAGAGAATCAATTCTAACCAGATGATAAACATTTTCTAGACTCATACCTCCTTTTTATCGTATAAAAGCATCTTTATATTGATTCTGTTACCTTTTACAATTCTTCTCTACAATCTTGAAACATAAGATGGCATGAATTACCACATTCACGTTTTGTAGACGACAGCATAGGTTAAGAGAGTTTGGACAACCTGATTGATAGTACAAAGCTAGTCCCTACTATATTGATTTCTATCAAGCAGCCTCTGAAATGGAATTAGTATTTTACAAGTAGGAGGGGCTCAAAGATACTTCAAATTCCAACTGTGTACCACAGCAGTTAAATGACTTCTGTAAAATCACACAATTATTATTTAGGCAGAGTATAAAACATGCCAATTCAGCACAGAGTATAAGTGTGATGTCTGTTTATGGTTCATACACCATAAAACCAATAATTTCATCATTCCTAACCCAGCTATCTCATCAGCCAGAATCCCAAACTGAGATATCAAACATCCCTGCCCTATTCATGTTACTCGGTAGCTTCTATGGTCCCAAATATTCTCCCTTCTTGAAGGAGATGTCTTTCAAATTAGGATATTTCTGCCACACAATATGAGAAAGTGTGAATTGAAGAACAAGTCTTGTGAGTAATGGAAGCCTCCAAAGTGCCTGGATGTCCATGGAGTGATATGAGCACGCTTTGGGGCTATCACCAAAGTGCTTTATAGAAACAGGGCTTTGGAGTTTAGTGGAAGAAACATTGATAAGGGAGCTAATGGGCTTAGAAGTCAGGCCTATATTGGGACATTTATTTCCCATGCATAAAATAAAGGGCTTGGCCATCTTTTCCAGATATTCACCCCATGGTTGTCTGGGCAACACTGTAGTATTCAAAAATGCACTTCAGAGCTTGATCCATATAGAATTTTGGATTTGTCAGAAAAAAAGAGCATAAGTGGTTTATCAGGAAGTAAAAATCTTGGCCTTACCTGGATCCAGGGGCTGCTCAAAATCTTGGCGTTTTCGTTAAACTTTTCCATCAAGTTAAGAAATTGCTGATCTTTATAATCAAAACGTTTATGGAAAATAATGGAGCAGATCACATTGCAGGGAGCACAGCCCAGGATGAAAGTGGGATCACAGGGTGAGGCTAAAGAATTAGAAACAATTTAAAACACTATTAAGCTTCAGATATAAAATGCTTTGTATTTGTTAACAGATAATAGTAGTTTAGAAATTTTAAGCAATATCTTACCTACGAATTCCCTTAACAGCAAAAAAGAGTTCGGCATGCATAAAATCAACACAGCACTTTTACATTAATCCCGAGTTGACCATTACAACCGAGCTGGTTAAATAACTGTTGTTCAAATGATAAATTTACATTGCCAGCCTATTTGTCTTTTTACTTTGGGGAAAAAAAAAGACATTTTCTAAAAACCTAATAATTCAGGTTTCAGAGGGAATCACATCAGTCTGCAAAGTCTGTAGACAACAAGGCACTGAGATAGAAAGGGCAAGAATAGTTGAGGATTTTAAAACTTTTTGTATATAATGAATAGCTGAAAGACTCATGTGTTGAACCAGTAGAGAGGAACTACAGAGACTGTGGGTGAATTCATGTATTTAAGGAAACAAATGTAAGAAGCAGAATGTGTTTTATAAGAAGGAAAACAAATGTAAATGAATAATATGCCTAACATAGATTAGTTTGTAAAAATTTAAATGAAGACTTTGTTTGTTGTTTGTTTTTGTTTATTATTTGTTTGTTTTGAGATGGAGTTTCACTCTTGTTGCCCAGGCTGCAGTGGAATGGCATGATCTCAACTTACCACAACCTCTGACTCCTGGGTTCAAGAAATTCTCCACCTCAGCTTCAGAGGTAGCTGGGATTACAGGCATGTGCCACCATGTCCGGCTAATTTTGTATTTTTAGTAGAGACAGATTCCTCCATGTTGGTCAGGCTGGTCTCAAAATGCCAACCTCAGGTGGTCTGCCCACTTTGGTCTCCCAGTGGGATTACAGCCATGAGCCACAGTGCCTGGCCAAAAACTTTTTATTTTAAATGTAAATCCCAGGTAAGGCAAATAAGAAAGTGTAAATTGATAAATGGAGTTTTTTTCTTCTGTAGCTTTTTAAAAATGAATTTTCTTATGTAGGAACTAAATGCCCACCATCTGTAGTCATCCCGCAAATTTAACTTATTTAATTTGATATTGATTAGGCCCAGCCTATCATTTAATAGCTAAATAAATTAAATTATAGGTAAGGTTTTCTTGTTTGGTGGAGGATCTCTGAAATAAAGTTGTTATAATCAAGTGATTGATAAAGTTTATATTTTTTAAATTTTCTTTTGTTTTGCTTTAAGTTCTAGGATACATGTGCAGAACGTGCAGGTTTGTTACATAGGTATACATGTGCCATGGTGGTTTGCTGCACCTATGAACCTGTCATCGAGGTTTTAAGCATCTCATGCATTAGGTATTTGTCCTAATGCTCTCCCTTTCTGGCCTCCCATCCCCTGACAGGCCCCAGTGTGTGATGTACCCCTCCCTGTGTCCATGTGTTCTCATTGTTCAGCTCCCATTTATGAGTGTGAACTTGTGGTGTTTGGTTTTCTGTTCCTGTGTTAGTTTGCTGAAGATGATGATTTCCAGCTTCATCCATGTCCCTGCAAAAGACATGAACTCATCCTTTTTTATGGCCACATAGTATTCCATGGTGTATATGTGCCACGTTTTCTTTATCCAGTCCATCATTGATGGGCATTTGGATTAGTTCCAAGTCTTTACTATTGTGAACGGTGCCACAATAAACATACATGTGCATGTGTCATTAGAGTAGAAAGGTTTATAATCCCTTGGGCATATACCCAGTAATGGGATTTCTGAGTCAAATGGAATTTCTAGTTCTAGATCCTTGAGGAATCA